CGAAACCCTAAAACCTAAACCCTAAACCCTAAACCCTCATCCGCCTTGCAGATGCGCCCCCGGCGAGCACCCAGCGACAGCAGCACTGGCAGCGCCCATTGGCCCGAAGACCGTTTTTGAAGGGTTTATTAGGGTTTAGGTTTAGGGATTGGTGCGTTTTGATTTAAGAAAGGTTGTGGGTGGTTTTGCTGCTGGTTGCCTGGTGGTGTAAATTTCGAGGTTCGCAAAGAAGATATGACACCCGAAGGCCAAAAACAGGCCTTCTTCATTAGGCGGAATGGGTGTACTGAGGCCCTAAACCCTTTCTGTAGGTCGGCCTCAACCACCGGAAACCCAACCCGCCTGTCCCCCCTTTGAAACCCTTGACTACCCTAAAGCCTGAACCCGAAACCCGAAACCCTCTGATCCCAAACCCTAAACCCGAAACCCTCTGATTCTCAAGCCAAAGGCGGCCAGCCAGGCCAGCGTCCGCACGGCCTCGGAAAGCCGACCGCCTCTTGGCAACAACCCCGCATGAGGGTTTAGGGTTGAGGGTTAGGGTTTAGGGTTTGAGGGTACTCCAGTCAAGTTCATATTTGTTCGTGGAATGTTTCCAAATAAAGTACGGGGGTTTCGGCTTGTAGCCGCGAGCGCTGGCTCTGACCGTTTCTGCTGAATTTTGTTCCGGGTCTCGGCTTGGCTCAAGAGAGGTGCAGAGGATAGATCCGAGATACTCGGGCACAGAGACCAAAAGCCTAAACCCTAAACCCTAAAACCTAAACCCTAAACCCTAAACCCTAAACCCTAAACCCTAAACCCTAAACCCTAAACCCTAAACCCTAAACCCTAAACCCTAAACCCTAAACCCTAAACCCTAAACCCTCCCTCAGTATCTCTTAAGCGGGCTTAGGGTCTAGGGTTTACTCTCAAGCGATCTGCCAGGTCCCGCAGCAGCGTCTCTTCCCAGCAGCGTTCCCTTGACTGCAGCGGGAGTTCGAAGAGGTTCCTGCTCTTTGGGCTTCTAGGTAGGGTTTAGGGTTTAGGGTTTGGGGTTTAGGGTTTAGGGTTTAGGGTTTAGGGTTTAGGTTTAAGTGAGGATCACATCTAGGAATATGTTTCGGATGGCTTCTGAAGGGCCATCCTAGTTTGTTGGGCTTTGGTTGAAGACTTCTTGCCCTGCCTCCCCCCACAAGCCTGCGGGATCCCATGTCCTGACACGCAAAACTCCAAAGCGCCTGCATGGCATGGGCTTTTCACCACAAATCCTCCGACACAGGAAAGGGTCCGATGAAGGGATACGAAACATATGCAAGCCTTTGGGCTTCTTGAACCCTAAACCCTCAACCCTAAATAAACCCTAAGCCAGTGCCTGCAAAGCTTGGATGCAACCGATAAGCTTCGAAACTTCCTGCCGGGCATGAAGCACTTAAGCATTCAGAGCTAGCAACCGCTGCGTCAGAAGGGGAAAGTCGGCTGGTTCTTAGTAGGGAATGAGGGAATGACCGTACTTATACACTCCCTTAAAGGCTAGAGAAAGAGCCCTAATTCCCTCATTCCCTACTAAGAAACAGGGGGAAATCTGCATGTCACGAAAAGCGACAGAGCTAGGCTTGAGTTTCATCATGCCTTCGCAGCTAGGGTCGGACAAGGTCCGGAAAGGAGGGCTTAGGCCTACTATGAACATCAAAAACACTCACTAATATAAAAGCCAAATAGAGGTTTTATACTTGCAAGATTAATTATCACAGTAATTCCTGTTAAGGGTTTGGGGTTTAGGGTTTAGGCTGCCTCCCCAGAGTCCGAGGCTCCGCAAGCCTTCCGCCACGGCCCCTGCGCATCGCCGAGCCGCCGCCCCCAGAGCCCGGCCGAGATGCGCCGCTGCGCTCCTGGGGCCGTTTCAGAGCGCTTTTTTTTGGGGGGGTCAAGGGTAAAGAAAGGGATGTTTAGGGTTTACAAAAGCGCTCTGCATGGCCTTGTGTGGCACTGGGCATGCCAGGTGGACCAAGCCAAGCACTAGGGTAAAGGGTTTGGGCTTTAGGCGGGTTCAGGGGGCGCTTTGGAGTATTCGAAGCTTCTTGGGCCCCTGGAAGTGAAAAAAGCTGCTCTTCCAACCTTTTGCCCTCACCAACCCCCCCCCCCACCTTTCTAGCAAAAGCTCCCGGCTCCAAAGGCCCCAACTGCCGGTCCTGTCTCGGTGCTTTAGGGGCTCCCCACCATGCATGCCGAGGCTACGTCATCCAGTTCGGGAACAATTCCGGCGGCACGGACACAAGCTTACGTCTTTGCAGAGCTATAGTCGGCTTCAGGTGCAGAGTAAGACAGAGGTGTCATATGCCCTAAACCCTAAACCCTAAACCCTAAACCCTAGGGCCGCTGTACATGAGCTTGCACAAAGCCTGGCTGGCAAGTCTAGCTACATAGTTGTAACCTGCTGCTTGGCTGCATGGAGAGATGGGTGATGTAGTTTAGGTGGTTTGTAGACTGTGGTTCTTGGGGTATGTCTGCATGCAGCATGAGTGGCTACTCCAGAGAGCATTGCAGAGTCCCGCAGCATGGTGCTTTCTGACTCGGTACCTCGTTTTTGTGGGTTTTGGGTGAGAAATTTGCTTGGGTGGATTTGAAGTGCCAGCTGGGGACTCGAGGTTTTGGCTACGACCTCCTATGATGGTTTCAAAGGTGGCCGAAGGTGAACGTATACAGAGTATCCAGAATTTCCCCTGCAGAGTGTCCGAGAGGTCAGCTAAGTGGCAAAAAAAAACCCTACACCCCTCGAACCCTTAAACCACCCTAAAGCCCAAACCTGAAACCCTGCAGCCCCCCTTTCCGTGGCAGCCGGGGGGCCCTGACATTCCCAGAGACGCGAATACCCCTGAATGAAGGAATACACCTTAAAACTTAAGAGGGTTCCTTGTATGGTTCCTGGAATATTCCTTAAAGTACAAGGTTACAAGAGGGTTCCTTTTTTGGCTTATAAGCAATGCTCCCTAAGAGATATTGGAGCCCTGACATTCGAGGCGTGCTGCGCCAGCTGCTGCGCGCCCGGCGCGGCTGGGCCCCCTGCGCTGGTGACCCGGGGGGCGCCGGGGGCACCTACCAGGCACAGGGGGCTCTGGGCTCTTATACCCAGCCCTGTAGACCCCTTATGTTGAGGAATATACCGCAAATGATACAGGGATCCTTAACATGATTTAGGGTATATTCCACAATTAGGGTGTACTCATGCCCTTGAATGCTCCCATTTGGGCTCGTTTACACATCGTTTTTTCGTAGTGGCGGTAAGGGGATAATGTTGGCTGGATGGTATCACTCCTTGAAGTGCCATGGGTCACGTGACTTTGGCGCGCAAAGATGTACGTGAGAGCTGAGCAGCTACCGCGGGCCCAAACCTTGCTCATGCATGCCGGAGTAGGCTGGCCCTTCTTCTCGTTTTTAGCGTTTAGGTCCCTTAAAAAATCCCTTCTAAAACCAAAAAGGACACCCTTTTTATTCCTAGGTTTCTCTCGGGTCTAGCAGCCAACTGAGGTACCCCAGGCCTGGGTTCTCGGCAGGGGAAACTCAGTAGCTTAGGTAACCTTACGGCAACCTGTAAACCTTTTCTAGGATGCCCAGTAGTGCCCTTATTCCCTTTTTTTGGGGGGCTTAGGTTCCCTTATAGACCCCTTTAAGCAAAAAGGGTACCCTGTTTAATCCTGGGTTACTGAGCATCCTAGCGGGTATCTTACCAGAATTGAACGGTCAGCCTTTTTTGGGCCCCGGGCGCCCAGCAGCTAAGGGAAATGGGTCTGACAGCCTGACAGCCTGGGCTCCTTATTGGAGGGGTTGGGGTTCTATTGGCTTTCAGGGTTCAGGGTTCAGGGTTTAGGGTTTAGGGTTTAGGGCTTAGGGTTTAGGGTTTAGGGTTCAGGGTTTAGGCTTAGGGTTTAGGGTTCAGGGCTTAGGGTTTAGGGTTTAGGGTTTTAGGTTGCTTTAAGGGTCAGCCCAAGGAGCCGTCAAGCTGGCGACCCAGCGACTCCACCACCCCCCTGATGAAGCGATAGGGCGCCTCATTGTAGAACCCAAAGAGCCCCAATATTGCTTCATTAAGGAATATACCTTACATCATATTAAGGATCCCTATTATGGTTTAAGGAATACTCCTTAATTTTAAGCAATATTGGGCTCTTTTGGGAAATCTGAGGGTAGGTTCATGGGCCCTGAGTATGGTGCCTAGCCTCCTTAAGAGGTTCTTAGGTAAGGGCCCTGAATCTTTATAGGGTAGAAAAGGGGGTATCTACGGGGTGTGGGTTATAACTAATTGGTTACGAAGTACCCTGAACCTCGGGTTTAGGGTAACCCTTTTCCCTAAACCCTAAACCCAATTAAGCTTATGAGGTCTATTCCTCCGTTGTAGAAATCCACAAGTGAGTTTGCTTCTGGATTGTCCTTGGGACCGCTTGCATAAACCCTAAACCCTGAACCTCTAGGCCCAAAGAGCCCAATATTGCTTAATTAAGGAATATTCCTTAAACCATATAGGGATCCTTAATATGATTCAAGGTATATTCCTTAATTAAGCAATATTGGGGCTCTTTGGGGGGTTCAGCCTGCGAGAGGATCGGCAGATCAAGTTGAAGCCCACGGCTGGTCCGGAGATCAACCTCCTCTGGACCCAGCGACCTGGGGGGGACGCAGGGCTTTGGGGAGTTTAAGGTTTTTAGGGCGTTTAGGTGTTTTTAGGGCGTTCAGGGGTTTTTTAGGGTGTTTAGGGCTCTTTTGGGGGTTTTTAGGGGTAAGGGGTTTGAGAATGTCCGTGCTCTAAGGGCTCTGAGGCTCTGTCTCCAGACCCTTTGCAACCATGAGGACACTGACACACCAACCAAGGGGTCGCATGCCGGCACAGGTTTCAGGCCGAGCCTCCGTACACGAATCTGCTTTGCGAACCATTGTTCCTTACAGGATTTGCTAAAGCAATGCCCTTGAGAAGTGTTGGGTTTGGGGGTGCTTTCCTGGGAAGGTACCGCTGCTCGACGTTCTTGAACGCCATGCTCTCTGGGCAGAAGGGCCTCGCCGTGACCTTGAAGCTGGGCCTGAGCCGGGAGGAACCCCCTTACCTGGAGAAGTTCCATGCTCAGTAGTGCCCTCTGCCCCCTTTTTTGGGGGGTTTTAGGGTTCGCTTTTACAGAAGCCAACCGCAAGAAGGGCCACCCGCATTGTCAATATGGTTACTGGGCTACCAAGCTACATGCGGGGTTTAATCAGCAAAGAGGGGGGGGGCTGGACTTCGTTTCTCTTCAGGGTCCTAGGTCTGAGCTGGCACACACGCTGCCCCCCCTTGTGAATCCTGACATAATGCAAGAACCCTTTTCAGGGTGCCAAGCCCCTTTCTGTTGTAGCGGGGGAACCCTTAACGTTACGGCGGTACAAGGGGCCGCGGCTCCCAAATCCGCCCGCTGAGGAACGAGGAGAGGACGCTGAAGCTCAAGGCAAAGATGCCAATTGCAGGGTTTCGGGTTCAGGGTTTAGGGTTTAGGGCTTGGGGTTTAGGGTTTAGGGTTTAGGGGGCTTCGGGCCTCGTACGATGCCCCTCTGTACAGCAAGGTGGGTGTAGGAATTAGATGCCCGGCCTTTACAACCCCGGCTGCGGGCGCTGATGGTTTGGCGAAGTATTCCTGCAATGGAATCGCCCACACGCGCACACCTGTACTCATCAGCCTCACAAAAACTCCAACCCCTGCCTGAGGCCCCTAGAATCCCTCCTTTTAAGGCCCCTTTTGGCCCCTGATCCCTCCTCTGAAGCCCCTAGAATCCCTCCTTTTAAAGCCCCTTTTACCCCCTAATCCCATCATCCTCCCCTACAAAAACCCGAAGCCTAAAACCTAAACACCCTAAATAACCCGAAGCCCTAAACCCTAAACCCGAAGCCCCTATTTGCTGGAGGCCTGCCCTGTGCCGAAGGCCCTGCGTGCGGAACCGCCACCGCGGCGCTGCCACAACCACTTCGAAGGCTCAGGGTTTAGGGTTTAGGGATTTGAGACAGTGCCTGATGATTGGCTTGCTAGAGTATGGGAATCCAGTCAGTAGCACTGGGAGCCTGTGCTTGGGAAGTTTGTGGCAGCACCCACGGGAGTCCGGATGCAAAAAGGGTTTAGGGTTTAGGGTTTAGCGTTTAGGGTTTAGGGTTTAGGGGGCCCCCTCTTTGAGGAAACGTGGGTGGGCCGAGGGGGGCGGTTCCAGAAACTAGGCTTCTTTGGGTTAGGTCTCAGCATTTGGGTTTCGCCTTCTTTCTTGCTATTGTTAGAGGGGAGGAGAGAGGGGTGGGAGGAGGCAAGTGCCCCCAACCCAAGAACCACAGACCGCTCCCAACACGCCCCCGCATAGTGTTTTCAAGCCTCCCCCTTGGCCCCGACATGGAAACACCCTAAATCCTAGACCCTATAGCCTATAACCCCAAACCCTAAACCCCAAACCCTAAACCCCAAACCCCAAACCCTAAACCCTAAACCCCAAACCCCAAACCCAAACCCCAAACCCTAAACCCAAATCCTAGACCCAGAGGGGGTGGATTCCTCTGCACCAAGCGCGGGCTCTGCCCCGGCCTTACGGATCGATCTCAGAGACTTGAGTTGCCGCGCTTCAGCTTAGGAGGTTTATAGGGTTTAGGGTTTGATAGGGTTGAGGGTTTTGGGGTTCTGGCCCGATGCTGCTGTTTTAGGATCTCCCCGCAAAGCACCCCAATGTTGGAGTGGTAAGGGTTGAATCCCAAAAAGGTACCTCGTGCCATCCTGGTTCTTTTAATGGTTTTGAAGCCCTAAAATCTGACACCCCAAGAGTTGCGATAATTTTGGTGTTTGAGGCATTCGCCTGCAGATTACTGTTCTTATTGGTCGAGGCTCCAAAACTACTTCTCACGAGGGCTGCATGCAAGCCTGTTGGTGTTGTGTTCAATCCTGCATTTACAGATAATTGTACGTGCGCACAATCCACTGTTTTAGGCGAGTCCCTGGTGGCTCACTTCCTCCACTTCGGCCGCGACCCTTTCGGAGCGGTCCCGTTGACGTGGCTGGGCTCCGCAGTTTCGAGGTTTAGGGTTTAGGGTTTAGGGTTCAGGGTTGGGGGGCGCAGTGGGCAGCCGTAGGTTAGTAGTCGTGGTGTACCAAACCCTGAACCTGCAAGCGAGACGCGAAAGCTACCCGCGGCAATGACAACGATGATAGCAAGAAGAATAGCACTAGTGATCGGGAGGTTGCAATGATACCCCACAAGCAGGTGAACAAAAACGGGGAGACGAAGAATCCTACGACAAGCTCCTTGGTGCCAAGGTTCCTAGTCCACGGCAGCAGCGACCCTCAGTGCCCTAGCTGCAGGGCCTGGCCTAGGGCAAGGTTTCTTAAGAGGAGTGTTTAGGGTTTAGGCTTCAGGGTTTAGGGTTTAAGGTGCTCCCTAGTTATACAGGACAAAAGAATCCGTCAGAGAGGGAAGAAGGAAGGCAAGAACCGGGCTCAGTCGTCATGAGGGGGTTTTGGGGTTTTGGGTTTAGGGTACCGCAGAAACAGTATTTACTTCAGATTCCTGCAGAACTTGTGGGGTCTGTCCTGTATCACGCATCGCATGAAGCTGGCAAGATTGTCCGGGGCCCAGTATTCAAAAGGGTGTAGGGCCGCACAAGAAATTGCCAGTTCCTTGCAGAGGGCTTCGGCCTTTGGAGATTGAGCCCCTAACAAAGCCCCTGAAAAAGAGCCTGTACCAAGTTGTTCGCCATTGCGGGATTAGATGGGGGCGGAGGCTTGTGAAACTCGTGGTTCAAGTGGGGGCGTTGGCATCGCCTCTTCCACTGTCGAGAGTAGATTCCACTTCAGGGCAGAAAAGGGGCTGCGTGGCCTCAAAGGGGTTTAGTGTTCGTTGATAGCCGCGATCCGGGGCAAATTTGCCTCGCACGCTGCACCCTCAAGCCTCTCGAGTTGTCACAGCCTTGTGGCGCAACAACCTTCCACCAATCCCAGATCTTCCAAAACCCCTTAATTAAGGAGTATACCCTAATTTATTCTAAGGATCATGGTTATGAACTTGGGCATATTCCCTAATTAAGGGTTTCTGGAAAATCTGGGATCATGAGTTCTTCAGAGTCTGCACGTGACAACCCAACTCCAGGTTCGCCATGTTCGAGGAGCCGGAATGAAGGTTGTTTCACGACCTCAAGCAGAAGTCTTGTTTCGGCTTCAGGGTTTAGGGGAGGGTGGTTTCAGAATTCAAGAACAGCAGCAGAAGCAGCCCCCCCAGACTTCCCCGAAAAAAACGCATGTTTTTTGGACTCAAGGGGCACAGGGAAGAACAAGAAACTCCGAGCCCTAGTCTGAATTATAGACTTTTTTGTGGCCCCTCAAACGTCAATGAACCTTCCAAAAACATACAGTAGCGTGGTAGCCCGGCGGTACCCTTTACCCTGGTTCTAATCTGGTTGCCGGGCTACCAAGGTAGGATCCCTTACGAATTACGCCGCCCCCCGTGTCGGGGTGGGGGGGTCATACAAAAGGCTAAATAGGCTGACTTCGCCTTTAGTTGAACTTTAAACTTTTTGGGTTTCCTTAGTAGGAATATTAAAGTTTAACCTTTTTTCCCCTTGGTTATTGGAGAAGTAAGTAGGGATACGGAAGCCTAATTAAGCTCCCAAAGAGCCCAATATAGCTTAATTAAGGAATATACCTTAAATCATATTAAGGATCCCTATATGATTTAAGGAATATTCCTTAATTAAGCAATATTGGGCTCTTTGGGCTTACGTCAGGGAGAGGATGCTCTGAGCGCAGGAGGCATATCGCTACTTCTCAGACGAAGCGAAGCAGCGGTGACGGGGCCCGATTGTGCTTAGGGTTTAGGGTTTAGGGTTTAGGGTTTAGGGTTTAGGGTTCAGGGTTTAGGGTTTAGGGTTTAGGGTTCAGGGTTTAGGGTTTAGGGTTTCAGGGGGCTGGGGTCTCAGATTGCTGAGTCTCAGGGCATTTTCCGACAGCCTTCAGGCTCACCAACAACCTCCCCACATGAAACCCCTATTGCGATCCAGTTTACAAGCCAAAGAACACCCCCGTGTTGCGGCTCGCAGCAGGGCGCAAGATGTATCCTAGAGCCCTTACAAGGGAACCCTTCTTAAGCCTCTTCCTTATCATTCAGAGGGTCTATCCCCCCCCAGGGTCCCCCTTCATCCTATCCCCTAATGTTAGCTCTGGAGTTCTGGAGATGCTTGCATCAGGGGGGGGGGGGGGGGGGGGGGGAAAGGGGCTTGCTAGCCCAGTACCCTTTTCCATTTTTTTGGGTTCAAGGTTCCCTGATCAAGTAGCCAACCCCAAAAAGGGTGCCCTTATTGCATATGGTTACTGGGCTACTAGGGGGGGGGGGGGGGTGTTCGGGTTGAGGGGTTTGCAACAAAAGGCCTCAAGGGCTCAAGAGCCCCTACCCTTTGGGCTTGTTATGGTGCATTAGGGTTTAGGGTCTAGGAGGCTCCTACACTAGACGGCCCTGTAACCTCTGAAGATCCATGAAATCCAGCGCTGACAACTGTCTTGGGCCTTGCCCGGCCACACACACACACACACCTAAGACCCACAGGTTAACTTGCTTCCCACCTACAAACAACAGCTCAACCCTGAAGCCCTAAGCCCCCTAAAGCCCTTAACCCAAAAAAAACCAAGACATCCTCCTCCCCGAAACGGTCCCCATCCTGCCTGGGCTTTCTTCGTGCAAGTGTGGTTAGCCGAAGTTCTGTAAAAGACAAAACTAGGTAGGCCCTTGGGACATTTCATATTTTCCCTTATTTGGGTTTAAGAGCATCATATTCAGGAATATTTTTCAGAGGGTTTTAGGGGCCATCCTAGAAAAGGATCTGGATCGTCAAGCCGGCCGAGTGGGCGAACAGGGGTTGCGGCATCCGACGCTTGCTTACTTGCGGGTTCTTTGGGATGGAGTGGGGTACCCTTTTTATGCCTGGGCAGATGAGGGCAATGAATATTTTAGGTCCCTACTTCCCTCATCCCCTACTTAGAAACAAGTCGGTTTTGGGGTCAGCTTTGTCGGTGTTTTTCTAGAATCCCTCTCGGTTGTGTCGGTGTTTTTCTAGAATCCCTCTCGGTTTTTCTTCTGCGTTGCAAGCCCCAACGTCGTTGTGCGAATATTGTTGAGATTGGGTCTTGTTGTGATCCAGGTGGCACCATCATTGAAGGCTTTTTAACGTTTTCCCCTAATTTCAAGTCATTGTTCGTAACACCTCCATGCACATGGCCTTCAATGTACTAACTGCAGCGGGATATTGAATATAAGGGGAATCGTGTTGTCAGGGTAGGGACGTTCGTGGTTCGTCCACCCCTGCGGGTTGCGCTGCCGGCTTTGGGTCCGGGCAGGGTAGGAGCAGCTGGGATTGGTTCCGCCAATGAAGGTCCTAATCTTAAAATCCCCCATACACAGCGAATAACAGGGGTGGTTGAATGGGCATTGCTCCGACATCCCACGATCTGAGGCATCTTCAGAACGATTGAAGAGGTCCGGGCCCGGGTGGACGCCAAAGAGCGTGCCTGGGCCATCCAAAAGCGACTTGGTCCCATTGGCAGGACTAGGATGCCCTGTAGTGCCCTTATTCCCATTTGGGGGGTTAAGTTCCCTTATAAACCCCTTAAGCAAAAAGGGTACCCTTGTTAATCCTGGGTTACTGAGCATCCTAGAGGATGTCCTTGCGCGGTTTTTTTCTGCCAGGGTATGTTGACCGATGTATGCAATGGGTGTTTTTCGTTTGGGCATGTTTTCCAAGGGGGGCCTGCATGCATTCGCAGGATTGGGATTCTGTTCCTTAGTAGCTGAGTGAGCACACTTTACACTTTTTGGGATGCATTTTTCCCCTATAGAACTGAAACTGTACATTTTTTTGGGCTTATGAACTCAGCAACTAAGATTCCAAAAAACCCTTCCAGAGGCTTTGAAGTTGAATTGACCCCTATTCCGACCCCCGGCCGAACATCGAAGCAGGAGCGTGGTTTTCAGTAGCCCGAAGGGTTCAGAGTTTAGGGTTTAGGGTTTAGGGTTTAGGGTTTAGGGTTTAGGGTAATGTCACTGCGGTTGAAAGCACAAGTTGTTCCCATAAGAAGCCTTAGAGCTTTACGCTCCTGTCAAGTCACACCGCGTGCAGGGACCAACCCTGCCGGAGCCCTAAAGCCCAAACAATGACGCGATTGTGTATCTCTTTAAACTACATGTGTGTTTCATTTGTTTTTTTCTTTCTTGTTTCTACATACTATGTGTTTCATATATGTTTATATTTTCATTTCTCTGCATATACATAGAGCAAGCCCTGACCAACCCAAGGTACATTGAGAAGCCGCTCTTGGTGCACGGGCGCCACCTGGCTTTCATGTCCTCGGTAAACATTATCGACGGTTCGGGATGGAGGTTCACGGGTTAGAGTTCCTTTTCGGGGCTTCAGGGGGGTTTACGAGCTTTGGGTTTTTGGGACTTTGGGTCTTGTTTGCAGTTAGAAGCGGAGTATACATCAGCTCTTCCAACGCGGAATGCTCTCAAAGCATTTTCGCCCTTGGGCATTGCACCCAGGCAAGTTCGACATCCGCGCGCAACTCGGTTGCAGGCCTTCAAAACTCTGCTCGCAGAAGTTTGTTTCTCTTGCAGACTCAGTGTGCTTAACTACAGCCTTTGCAAGTGAGGGTGGGGCTGTAAGATCCGAAGGCTCGGGGTTGGGGGGGGAACGCAGCAAACTGCACGTGCTTGTAACGCACCTTGAACCCCAAACCGAGAATGTAGAACATAGCCCCGAAACCCTAAACCCTAAACCCTAAACCCTAAAGCCTAAACCCTAAACCTCACCTTACACTCGGTAACTGCTCGGGTTGGCTGGGAAGGGCTGCGAGCATCAGCTCCATGTGCCCGTAGAAGCCAGGAAGAAGCCGAAGCACAACGTGGTCCTACATTCTGGGTCATTGTTGAAAATGATTTTACATCTTGAGGGGTTTAGGGTTTAGGGTTTGAGGGTTTAGGGCAATACTTAAAACCCCAATAAGGAATCAAAATGATTCTTTTTGAATGGTACCCCAAAGAATCGTGCAGCATTGGTCATAAGGCCACAAATGCCCACGCAGCCATATTTCTCCCGGAGTGAAAGAGAAGCAGGGAGTCGTAGCCCAACGAAAGAGAACTTAGCAGCTGAATGAGTGCACTTTACACTTTTTGGGATACTATAATCCCCTATAGAGCTGACAGTCTGCACTTTTTGGGGGCTTATGAACTCAGCAACTAAGAGAAGCAGGGAGTCTTAGCCCAACGCAAGATTGCCGGGCCATGCTCTTGATTGGTATGGGTGCGGGTTGGGATGTTCCCCCTAAACCTAACAGTCCTCAATAGGGATTACAGTACCCCCTACTATAAACCCACTGCTGTTGCAGAGAGGGTCCTTGCAGAAACCTTTATCAACCCTGAGGTACTGCCTCCTTCTCCAAGATCCGGCCACCATGGCTTTCAAAGCCTTCTGCTACAGGGATGCATATCTTCGCACCACCAGCGCTCAGCAGCTTGGGGACACAAGTGGTTTCCGGAAGGAAGTTTATGGTTCACTCGTGTTCGGTTAAGCAAAAAAGGGGCACCCTTTTGAATCCTAGTTAGGGTTCGGAGTATAATGCTTCGGAAAATGAGGATGTAGAGGCGAGAAAAAATGTCCTGCTGAGCAGGATGATCTTGGGGCAAATTTTCGTAGACAACTTCAAGCGGTTCTGACGTCCGCCTCTTGACCCTCCTTTCTTGTGACCATCTCCCCGACCTTTGTCGCGTGTTCTTCCTGATTTCATCGCGAGACCTCCCTTGAAACCTATGTTTGGGGATGCTCCCCCTTATACTAGCAGTCCTTAATGGGGATTGTAATAGGGGGTACGATAATCCCCCATTAAAGGCGGTTCGATTAAAGACTGTTAGTATACCAAGCCTGTGTCCTGCGGCATGCAGCCCAAGGTACACAACCAAGACCTTCGACAGGACTGAAGGGGGCGGATGCACCCAAAGAGCCCAATATAGCTTAATAAAGGAATATACCTTAAATCATATTAAGGATCCCTATATGATTTAAGGAATATTCCTTAATTAAGCCATATTGGGCTCTTTGGGCATTCATGGGCCATGACTCCGAGAGTCTTAATGCGAACCCTGATCCCTACAGCTTGGGATGTTCCCCTTTATACTAACAGTCCTTAACAGGGATTAGAGTACCCCCTACCACAATCCTTATTTAAGGACTCTTAGAATATGGGGTAACATCCCAACCTACACCTTTGAACCGAGGGGCTTCCGAATCTCAGGGGGGAAATACCTGGGGGGCACCTGGGGCTAAGTCCGGGGAAGGTGGCCGCAAAGGGCGTTTAAGGGCCTGTCGACCCAGACCTCTGGGAGGATGCAAAAAAATGTAGGAGCCCCCCCCCCCCCCCCCCCCCCAATAGCATCCTAGACTACACTATGGTTGGGTCATGTCTTGAGAGTCTACTTTTTGGGATCTACTTTCTGCCCAAAGAGCCCAATATTGCTTAATTAAGAACATATTCCTTAAACCATATGGGGATCCTTAATATGATGTAAGGTATATTCCTTAATTAAGCACTATTGGGCTCTTTGGGTGGGTCCTCCCAGGGGTCTGGCTAAGGTAGTTCCATGGTCCCCCTAGTGTGGGCCCTTTCATGGGGAACCCTTACTATACCCTCTCAAGCCCAAGGGCCCCTAAACCCTCAACCCTCAACCCTCAACCCTAAACCCTAAACCCTAAACCCTAAACCCTAAACCAGAACCCCTTAAACCTTCTCAGCAGGATGGTGCATCTGAACAACGACGCCGTGCAAAAGAAAGGCGACGACTACGGCAAGTTCGAGCCGGCAAACAAGATGTCCCTGGAAGAGCTTCCGGGCTGCAAGGTTTAGGGTTAAGGGTTTAGGGTTTAGGATTCAGGGTTTAGGGTTTAACCCAAAGCCCTGCATGAGCTCGAAGCTGGGCGTTAGAAGAGGGACTACACTCAGAGCCAGATCCACTCGCTCAACTTCCTCCACCCGTTTAGGGGCTAGGGGTTTAGGGTTTAGGTTTTAAGGTTTAGCCCCTTGTGGCCTCCGAAATTTAGGGGCCGGAAGACTTGGAATAGGGTTTAGGGGCTGATTGTAGTATACAGAATTGCAGACGGACAGTAAGAGAATACTATTAGTAATTATTCCGACCCCTATATCACTCAGGTTCCAGAAATATCTGGATGAGCACCACGCGGCTCGGTTGCAGCTAGCAATGAGGGACCACACTTGGCTTTCTTCTGCCTGGCTCTTAGGACTTTAGCCCTTTGGGGTTTTGAAGCAACTACAGTAAGGAGCCTAAAAGTAAAAATTTCAGGAAGGGTTCAGAAGTCAGCCAAGCAAAGAGGGGTGTGAAGCGACAGGCTCAGCATGTATCGGCCACAGGAGTTTGTGCAGACTGCTGAGGCCTCCAGCGTGCAGTTTGCGACATGCAGCTCTCAAAGCCACATGCGCACGCGATGAAAACTTAAGAAACCGTAAACCCTGAACCCGAAACCCTAAACCCTAAACCCTAAGAGCATGCGGCCCCATGTTGCTTGCCACTCGTCGTTTTGTGTACTTGTCGCATCCTGCATAGAACACCGCAGCGGGCAAGTGCTGCAAGGCATGGAAGCCAGCGGTCTAAACATAGCAAGAACATGACAAGCCTAATTCAACACCAACCACTTGTAGCAACCCTAAACCCTAAACCCTAAGCCCTAAAAAGCGAAGCCTCATCCTAGGACTTCGCTTCGTAGAGTCAGCCCACCTTCTCGGAGAGCATTCGACAGAAGCTCAAGCTTAAAAACCTAGTCCGTTCAAGCACCTACATAAACCGCTTTTGGTTTCTTACTGGGCTCTGCTCATAACGGAAAACAAGAGCTTGAAGTGCAGTTCTGAGAACAGTTTTGGCATTGGCGCGTAGCTGCGATAGCAACCTGGCTCTTCGCAGGAGGGTTCCCTCAAAGGGTTCGAGGGACATGCGACACCCTAATGCCTTCATTTCCTATTCAAGTAACGCCCTTAAACCCTACACCCTAAACCCTAAACCCTAAACCGAAACCCTTGCCTCTGAAACCAGGGAACCCCGAGGTGGAAGGGCATCGAAGGAAGACACGAACGTGGGGACACTATGTGTTGATGTGACCCTCTCCATCCGGCTCTTGCCTTCCTCCGGTTTAGGGTTTAGGGTTTAGGGTTTAGGGCGCGCCCGTTGCAAAAGGTCTAGGGGGCTCAGGGTCCTCGTGGAAACGCACAGCTCCTCAGCACAGGGCTTCGGGGTTAGAGCGTCATGAGGTCCGCAGCGTCAGCGTGCGGGAGGACACGGCGAAGAGTTTGACTTAGTAAGGGGTTTCGGGGCCACGGCTTCTGTGGTTCGGCGCGCCATTTCCAGAGGAAGGCATGGAGAAGTGGCGGCCAAGTCACACCTACTCTTGCCTAACAACCCCAAAAAATGAAGAGAGTACCTGGGCCCCAAAGTCCCAATATAGGAGGTACTTTATAAGGCCCAAGTCTTCCCGATTTAGGTACATGGACCCCTTAGGGGAAGGGCAGTCTTGGATTGAGGGTTTAGGGCTGAGGGCTGAGTGAACATCCGTTGGGCCGGCCCTAATCAGAGCTTAGTAGGGATGTTCCCTCCTTATACTACGGTCCTTAATAGGGAGTCTAATAAAGAAAGGGGGGGGGGGGGGGGGACTATAATCCCTACTCAGGACTGTTAGTATAAGGGGGAACATCCCAAGAGCTTAGGTTTTAGGCTTGTCCATCCAGGACCTCTAAGGGTAGTTGTCTGGGCCCTAAACATGGTCCCTGACCTCCTTTAGAGGGTTCTGACGTATGGGCCCTTAATTTGTATTTGGTATATAAGGCGTATCTAAGGGTACCATCTTAAGGGCCCATACGAAGGGGGGGGAGTCAATATTGGGGGGAGGGGCTACCCACCTGTGGCGGGTAAGAAACGAAGCGGCCAGCTTGATCTTAGGATTTAGGGTGTTAGGGTTTAGGGGTTTAGGGTTAGAGGCCTGGATGCAAAACGGGTTCAGGGTTTTGGGGGTTCTGGCTTAGAATGAATGCGATTCTCGGCGGAGGACTTGATGGTGCAAGTTCAGGGCCTCATGACCGATGCCTCTCGGCTGGAGTTGCCCCCCCCCCCTCCCCCGTGCGCTCGCAAAGCGTGGGGGGGAGCTTCCCCTGGGTTGAAGTTAAGAGGGCATCCTTATTGAGGCAAAGAGAGAACAAAGCCTCTAAGGACAAGCAGGACAAGCTAGCATGTCGGAGGGGTTGATTCGGAAACCACTTTAGTTCCATAGGGGCCCTAATCCCGACAACATGCTTAGAAATTGATATGGGATAAGGCCAGCGGCCCCTATTCTTAGCAAGTCTGGGGGACCTGGTGTTGCGAACTTCTTACATATTCCATATACGAACCTGGTGTTGCGAGCTTCTTACATATTCCATGCTGAACGATTAACGCGGGATATACGAATATGATTGGTGCTAAGGAGGTGCTGGATTCAATATGAGTTCTGCTAGATAGTCCAGGCCCCCGACATCGCACCGAAAGGTGTACTGTCCCGAAGCCGTGAAATATGAGAGGGGCGACAGAGGAGATTCTCAGCTTCGGGGGCTTTGCGGGGACGGCTCTTGGTTTTGGGGGACGGTTTAGTGTTTAGGGTTTAGGGGAGAGGGGAGGGCAGTTGTTTTGGGATATGGGGTTTTTCAGCTTCGGGTCCCCTGAACCGCGGTACGTTCCCCAGGCAATGCGGGCCACGGTCGCCAAGCTGCTGGGCTGCTTTGGGGTTTAGGGTTTAGGGTTTAGGGTTTAGGGTTTATTTAGGGTTTAGGGTTAGGGCTGCTTCATGGGACGGTGCTCTTGGGATCAATGGCCGACAGCCTCCTTAGAAATTTTTCTTGGTAGGCCAGTGATACCCTTTCCCCTTTTTTGGCTCTGTGTGCCCTAACAAAGACACCAACCCGCAAAAAAGGGTGCCCCTGTTATAATATGGTTCTTGGGCCACCAAGAATAGCCTCCAGCCTCCTTAGGAAGTTTTACTCCAGGCTTTTACACAAGCCCAGGGGCATAGTGGCACAGGGGGCTGTTTGGCTGATCACTTGGGCTGCTCGTGGGCGAGAAAAGTCCTGGACTTTTGGGCTTGCCGTGAAGCAGCGAAGATGACTGCTACTTGCTTCGGAACCCCCAAAAATTAAGATAATAATCCCCATATTGCCCTTACAAGGAGGTAAACATGTTTTGTCTTTTTTTGGGAGCATGAACAGCTGGTCCAGGCGAGAACCATGAGTAACCCGGATGCACCCTCTTCCACGGGGTTTAGGGTTTAGAGTTTAGGGTTTAGGGTTTTTTTCAAACAATAAACAGGGTTTAGGGTTTACCAGCCAACAACCCAACTGAGTCAACACGGGAGCCTCAAACACTTCCATGCCTGCCGTGCACCCGAGCGAGATGCCCCTTCCAATTACTTCCCCCCCCCCCCCCCCGCAGCAAATTTGGGAACCGAAACACTAGTCACTTTCAAGGATGAACCCGCGGCAGATTGTCAACTGCTTCGAGGCTGGGCTCCGCGCGAAGTCGGCTGGGGGGTTTGGGGGTTCCGGAGGACGCCCTGGACTTTGTACCCTGTGGAAGCGCCCTTCCACAAGAAAGGCCCTTCAAGACATTCGAGCCCAACCACTGGGCAGGATTTTGATGGTTTCAGGGTTTCGGGTTCAACGGGTTTATCTGGGTTCGCCACGAGAAGTAGGCTCAAGCCAAGAGACTGCTCCCCTAAGCCCTAAATCTTTATAACAGGTTAGGCGTTAGGGCCTCGGCCAGTGGAATGCCTGTTGCTCCTCGAACCCCAGACCAGAACACTCCTCCCTGAACCCTGCAAAGCAAAATTCGCTTTCAGCTCAAAGCTTCTCCCTAAACCCTAAACCCTAAACCCTAAACCCTAAACCCTAAACCCCCTCTGAAGGTGTTCGGCTTCGACTTCATGGCGTCCCAGCCAACACCAGCTTTCAGGGCTCATATTTGGGGGGGGCGGGGGGCCATGAGCAGAGTTGCTGCTAGGAGCCCAGAAGTCTCCCAGAAACCCAACCCTGCTTGTCTCCGTAACATCAAATGAGGGGAGGCACCTCCAATCCTGCTACCCTGCAGTAAGCCACAAGAAAGTCCCAACATACCCAAGTAGCCCCAATAAACCAACAGCCCTCAACCCAAGTAAGGGAACCCTTCTAGGCACCCTTTTGTTTAAACATATGAAGCCCTAGACCAAAAAGTAGAAACCCTTCTGAACCCTAAGCACGAAACCCCTAAACGCCAAACCCCAAACCCTAAACCCTAAACCCTAAACCCCAAACCCTCACAAGGGAACCCCTTTGAGGGTCCATGCCCCTTGCGTCTTTGAGCCTCCCAAGGTCGACGTCGACTTTCGAACCTGGCTAATTGAGTGCACCGTGGCAGGGCTTAGGGGCTTAGGGTTTAGGGTTTAGGGTTTGGGGCTTGGGGTTTGGGGTTTAGGGTTTGGGGTTTAGGGTTTAGGGCCACAAAGTTGACGATTGAGGAGGTGTTGCGGTTAGGGGGAGCGTGAAGCACCTCGCTGACTCCATAGAACGTAGAATGTTAAGGGCTCGGAAATAGGGTTTCTGATTCTGTCTTGCTAAAAGCCTGTTGAACATCAAACAAACATAAGAGAAGGAAACACAAGAAACATAAAACACAACCAAGAAATATTAGTAGCGGGCCCATAACGTTCAATAACTGTTGAACGAACGTAATCTATATAGATTCGTGAATACAAGCTCCATGAAAAGCGTTGTATTGAATGGGCTTTCTAGAACAGGCCCTAAATCCCAAACCCTAAACCCTAAGCCCTGGACGTCCCAAATTGCGATTTCGATTCAGGGCCTTGGAGTTGCTTCGGCTGTGTTCATTGTTGCAGGCGCTGGATTCGGCAAAAAACATGTACCGTGAGTTCAAGGTTCTTACCCTGGTTACTCTGAAATCTAGTCGAGCTAAGTGTACAGCTTGATATTTGTTCATGAAGAGTATCAAGCTGCACACTGCAGTCGAGCCAAGCCCTGAAACTCTGTAACTCGACGGTTAGTTCTATGGGGAAGCATGGGTTGTAGAGGGTAGATATGTGGTATATCAGGGCCCCCCTTTTAAGGGCCCTTACCAAGGGACCATGCAACTACCCTTAGAGAAGTCCCCTGATGCCGCCACCTGCAGAAGCTCCAGGCAACGCCAACCCATGCCTGGATCTCTGCAGCGCATATCTCTCGCACCTGATCCCCAGCATGTGGCTGGGCCCATGTTCTTTGCAGGGTTTAGGGTTTAGGGTTTTCGGTTTAGGGTTTAGGGTTTAGGGTTTAGGGTCCATTCTTAGGAACCCTTAATAAAGGATCTACTTTTTGGATCGATCCTCTTTCTCCAGCTGCAAAAAAGGGGTTTCGGATATTGGATCATCAAGCAAAAGCAGCCCGCTAGTGCCTGTGGTGCACCCGGACAAAGATTCGCAGCACGGTGGAAGGTTATCTAGGGCTAGGGTACCAGTTGGGGGGTTCTTCTATTTACCCTCCAGGGGTTTGTGCTGGTTGAATCAGCCCGGGCTCGGGCTATGGTTTTTGTGCACCCGAAGCCCTAACTTACTTAGCCAATAGTTGAACATTAAACCGCGGTTTGGCTTCCTTATTTAACGGTAACATTAAAGTTAGAGCTTGTTTTTATTCCGTGGGGCCCCAGGAATTTGCAAGATACGAAACCCCCTCTTTCGCAAAGAAAAGCGCCAGGCAGAAAAGATCCGCAATATCGAAAGCTGTAATAAACTCCCTTGTAGGCATGAGCACACTAGGAGTTGACCGGAGTCCTCGTCCCAGAGCACTCTAAGGAAACTACCCAGCCCCATTCACCGTGGACATGGGGGGGTTTCCGAAAGTAGGGGGCTAACCTTTTGACATGGGGGTCCCTTTAAGGGCTTTTGAGAAATGCCCCCACATCCCTCACGTTCCATGACTAGGTATAGGCCCTTGGGACATCTTATATTTTCCCTTATTTGGGTTTAAGAGCCTCATATTCAGGAATATTTTTTCAGAGGGTTTTAGGGGCCATCCTAGAATGAGGTTGGACTCAGCTCTGCAACTCACCGTGGACCAGATCCTCAGCTCAAAGGATGATTAGGGCTGCTGCTTCGGGTTCTGGTGCGGCAGCTTGCTTCAGGACTTTTCCGAGGTGTGGGGTTCAGGGTTTAGGGTTTAGGGTTTAGGGTTTAGGGTTGCTACACAAGCGTGGAACCGGCGGAATTCTGCACCCAACCGTGTCATATGCTTTCAGGTTTCGGGCTGCAACAGCCACAAAGGGGGCCGATTGAACTTACGAAAACGAGTCCTTCTTGGCATCTAAATGCAGCACAACGGACACTCAAGAAGGGGCAAACCCTAAACCCTATAAACCCTTAACCCTAAGTTCCCAAAGTTCTCATTCTACGTGGCCCACCCTGAGATCCAGCTCAGGATCTTCGCAGACATCGGGGCTGGCGGCCGCTGGGCACAACGGCTAGAGGGCTTGATCCGAATCCCTCAAGCTTAGGTTTAGGGTTTAGGGTTTAGGGTTTAGGGTTTAGGGTTTAGGGTTTAGGGTTTAGGGTTTAGGGTTTAGGGTTTAGGGTTTAGGGTTTAGGGTTTAGGGTTTAGGGTTTAGTTATCCACCAACTCCTGCGCGTTGCTTTCAAGAGAGGCATACTCCTCTTAATGCCCCAAGAGTCCAGCCTGAGGGGTCCAAGGTAGCCGTCCCTGGATCCTTGGTTGGGAAGAGGGTTTAGGGTTTAGGGTTTAGGGTTTAGGGTTTAGCAACCCAACAAACTCGAAGAGGTAAAGACGGCGCTGGCAGCAAGTGGGATCTCCTGCTTGACACAGCGCAGGAGGCACCAGGGCGCGCACCCCCCCTTAGGGCGGCCAGGAAGCCCAGCAGTACCCTCAGTTCATTGCTTAGGGTTTAGGGCTCAGGGCTCTTTCCCCTTTAAGGCCTAAATCCTGCAAAATCGGCCCACAAGTACCCTTATTCCCTCTCAGAGGGTGCAGGTTCCTTTCGGGTTGCCAGGTCGTGGTGAAGGTCCCCGGTGATGTAAATCATGGGACCCCTCCATGGGTTCCTCGGAGGGAGTTGGTGCAATTTCGTTCACTCCATACAGATGATGCGCCAAAGGAACCCTGAGGGGAGGGTTTAGGGGTTTAGGGCTTTAGGGTTTAGGGGTAGTTTAGGGGTTTGGGGTTTGGGGTTTAGAGCGGGGGGTGGTGGTCACAGGGAAGTCCCATTGGGCCCATAAGAAAGAAGGCCCCGTGCTTTGTCAGGCTCCCGGCGCGGTGAGCAGCGCGTGGGTCGAAGAGTTGCCTGCAGGTGCCGATGGCAGCTTGGCTTGCTTCTTGCTTCTTGCTGCTGTTTAGGGTTTAGGAGTTAGAGTTTCGGGTGTTTTGCCTTCCTTTTGTTTTCTTAAAGAGGGGGGAGGGAGGTGAGGGGGCTGGATGCTGGGAGGCTAACGCTTTGGTTCAAGGCCAAGCGGGTTGGCTTTAGCAAACCCCTCATTGTTAAGCCGATAGGGTTGCGACTACTTTGCAACATCCAAAAGCCCTAGACCCTAAGGGTTTAGGGTTTAGGCCCTAAATTAGGTAGTCTTGTATAACATAGTCTCAGATGCCGTCGATCGGCGAATGCGTGCTCTTGGATAGCAGTGAAGCTGCTTTACTCGAGTGGCACTTACTCCGGGCGAGGTGGCAAGCCTGTTGCAAAAGGGTTTAGGGCCTAAACCGCATTGCAAATCCTGCACCTGGCCCCTCAGAAAAGTCACGTCCCCGATAGATGATGCAAGTCTCAGCCGAGAAGAGGCCCTAAGCGCAAACTCAAATCCTCAGTTGCTAGAGCAGCAACCCTAATATAGCCCTCGTGCTACCTCAAGGATCTTTAAAAAGGGTCCCCAAAACCCAAGTGCACAACCTTAAGGGTCCTTAAAGTAGACCCCCTCGAGAGCAGATGAACCCCCTCCGAGGTTTCACCCCCTCTTCCTTGGGGAGGCAGTTGCTGGGCAAGAGCCGGCCCAAAGCGAAGAAGGGACCGCCATCGTTAAGGGTTTAGGGTTTAGGGTTTTGGGTGTTTTGTTGTCCTCTCTCTGTGCTCGTAAGGTGTGGGGTTTTAGGGCTTTAGGGCTTTAGGGCTTGAAGGCTTCGTGCGGCAAGAAAGGGAATGCCCTAAATTCAGCCCTAAACTTCAACCCTAAACCAAACCGTGAGGGTTCTACCGCGCGCAGGAAGCAAGGCAGCCGGCCGGCGAAAAGACGGCGAAGAGAAGGCTCAAGAGGGCCTTTGGGGCAGGGAGGGGGGGGGGGGGGTTCAGGGTTTAGGATTTAGGGTGGGGGGAACCTGGAGGATGTCACAAGTAGCTCTGGAGGGGTACAGGGGCCCCCATTTCCGCGGAGGGTGCAAGGTGTGCCGCGGGCGGATAGTCGGTTGCAAAAGGGGTGGCCATTTGAGACCGAGAACCCTGCAGAGGCAGCTCTTTGCCGTTCACTTGCGAGAAAAAGGGGGCCCTTCTTGTACCCTTTGAAAGTTCTTTTGAGAACCACCGTGGTCCTAAACCCTAAACCCTGAACCCTAAACCCCTAAACCCTCTGACCTTTCGGCTGGAAAAGTTCCCTTTGTTTCGATTCCGCTGCACGGACTCCGACATGGCCTTCTCGACTGAGATCCTGGGCAGGAAGAACCGGGGCAGTGAGCCTGCCAGCATTTTCCACAAGGGGCTCACAGACCTCCAGGTCCTCAAGGCGGACCTCAGCAGGCTCTTGGGTCCGCGAATAACACAGAGGCTGCGCCAAAGTTCGAGAGAGGAGGGCGCGACCCGGCACTGAGAAAGAACCAGGGTTCAAGGGTTTACAGGGTTTAACGTATGGATTCACAAGAGGCCCTGCAAATCTCAGGCCAGGTTGACGTGGAGCTGCCCAGCGGACGTGCGACTGCATCTATCACCCGACAGCTCGCCGCCACTCAGCTGCTAGAACTGGACTTAAAGAGTCCATTACACAAACACAAACACAAACACGGAGAGAGAGAGAGAGAGATATATATATATATATATATGCATGTGTGTTATGCGTATGTATATTCATATAGGTCTATTTATTTACTAATTGTACATACTACTTATATATTCAATACATATACATATAGGCGTATTTTTACTAATTCTACACACGAATTATATATATATAACCAATAACCCAAGTCATGGTCGCCCTGTAAAACTCCACTGCAGTAAGGAAACCTAAAAGGGGCCATACATCGTGTAGAGAGCTGGCCACGCCGAATCGTGGGTCACTTAGGGTTACGGGCTGGGGTTGGAGTTTAAGGGTTTAGGGTTTAGGGTTTAGGGCGACATAGGGTTTAGGGTTTCGGGTTCAGGTCGGCTAGCAGTAGGCCTCGATGCTTCTGGAGCTATTGACATGGGGGGTTGAGCCAAAATATACAGAACGGCCCCATGACGTTCTAGCCTCTTGGGACACTTGATCTTGGGCTCAAGAGGGATTCCCTTCATGATTTTGTTTAGGGGTTAGGTTCATTCATGAAGGGCCACCAATTTCTTGCGCGCTAAACCCTAAACCCTAAAACCTAAACCCTAAACCCTAAACCTTCAAAAAATGACTCCGAAGGATGTCGCCGCCCCAAGAGCCGAGAAATCACCACGGCGTGGCTTCAACCCCTGAAGCGCCGGCTCAGGCCGGGGCGTGCTTCTTGGGCTTCGGCCTTCAGGGTCTAGGGTTTAGCATTTAGGGTTTTGGGGTTTAGGGCTTCGGGATTTCGTGTGCTACTCGTTGCTTCAGAGCCACCCAAAAAGAATGAAGAATCATAAACCCTTTAGGGAGTTGATTTTCTTCTTTTTTTTTGGTTTTCCCCACCCTCGGTGTGGGGTTGTCAGATTTTCAACTTCTCCTCGCCCGGTCTACTCCTCGCTCATCCCTGGAGTGTCCCTGGCGTGCCCAAACTCTAGAGTGTTGCTGGAGTGCCCAACCCCAGAGTCTCCCTGGAGTGCCCACCCCCAGAGTGTCCCCGGAGTGCCCAGCCCCAGAGTCTTCCTGAAGTGCCCAACCCCAGAGTCTCCCTGGAGAGCCCAACAACCCCAGAGTATCTCTACCAAGAGAGGGTGGGGATGTTCGAAGTAAAATATTTTTTTGTGGGGGGTTCTCAAGAAGACAGTAGATAGTTCCAAAAGTCGCAAGCGTCATCCCCTCCTGTATGGGGGGGGGGGGGGGGGGAGGAGGAGAGGGATCCTTTTCAGGGAAACCGCAACCCTTAAGGTGCCTAAACCCTCTAGGATGCCCAGTAGTGCCCTTATTCCCTTTTTTGGGGGGTTAGGTTCCCTTATAAACCCCTTTAAGCAAAAAGGGTACCCTTTTTAATCCTGGGTTACTGAGCATCCTAGCCCTAAACCCTAAACCCACGCTGCCGTTGGGATCAGGTGGACCTCGCGCGCTTGCTGGTGGAGGCAGGCGCCGACCAGAACGACAGCTGCTAAGCTGGAGGAAGGTTTAGGGTTTAGGGTTTAGGGTTTAGGGTTTAGGGTTTAGGGTTTAGGGTTTAGGAGACAACTCCACGGGCTCCATGCCCTATACTCTTTCTGCGATGGTCTGGATTGCTGGATTGTCAGCTCAAAGGAGACATTTCCTAGATTCAGCGTTTAGGCCTTAGGGTTCAGGGTTTAGGGTTTCGGGTTTAGGGTTTAGGGCTTAGGAGAAGCGAGCTCGAGCCCTGGAAACATGACCCCACGGCCCAAAGAAAGGCAACTCGGCTCTCCATGCTGGCAACGCGCATTGCGACGTTGTACGGCTGCTGCTGAGAGAGAAGGCGGACAAACACGGCCAGACTCAACGGATCACTGCTATTCAGGCGGCCTCCACGCACCTAGGGTGCATTGTCTGAAGGATGCCGGGGGGTTTAGCAGCACATGATTATATGGCTTTATTCTCATATTATATGGTATTTGACTATGGCATTTTGGCATGTTGTTCTTATTCTTCTTGTTATTCTTATTATTCTTCTTATTCTTATTATTCGTATTATTCTTCTTCTTCTTGTTATTACTTGTTCTTTTTATGTTTTGGGTGGAAAGGGCCGAGAGGCATGTTTGTCCATGACTTCACGAGACAAGCGAAGGTTTGATTCCTAAGAATAATTCCCCAAAACCCATACCCCTTAACCTGTAAAAGGAGAATATTCGGAAGGAATTGAAGCCCCGTAATTTCTTTTCAGGGTATGAACCCTAAACCCTGAACCGTTCTGCCAAAAGGGGTATGTTGAATATGTCTTATTCTTCCCCCCCGCGACAGCTGAGGAAAGGCCACATGGAATTGCTGCGCCTGCTGGCCACCCAGTCCACAACAGCCGAAGCTTTGGGTTTAGGGTTTAAGGTTTAGGGCTTAGGGTTTAGGGTTTAGGGTTTAGGGTTTAAGGTTTAGGGTTTAGGGTTTAGGGTTTTCCTCACTTGGTAGCTGAGTGCTACCCGCTTGCCCTGTTAGGGTTCCGGGTTCCCTTATCAAAAGCACCCTGACTAGGATATGGTCAGTGGGCCACCCAGTCCCCTAAACCCTAAACCCTAAACTTTCTGGAGTCTCTTGTGGGCCTTTTTCCTTGTGAGGGCTAGAGGCTCCGGGTTAATTCGGAGGGGTTTAGAGGTTAGGGCTTCTGGGTGCCTTGTCCATCGCTCTGGCTGTCGCCAAGCCCAGATGCAAAAGCGCGTGGCGAAATCCACGCAAGCTTGCCTTTTGCAGCTCTCTTTGGAAGTATGCCGGCCCTGGGAAAGTGTAATTTCTACGGGGTAGAAGGGCTCTTTGGGGATTATGGCCCATAAAACTTTAAACTCAGACCAACACCCCATCCAGACGGAAGGGGCCTGAACTGTAATCCTAGACCCTAAGCCCCCCACACCCCAAAAGCCTAAAAGCCCAAAAGCCGAAGCCTTCAACCACCCAACAGCCTGAACCCTAACCACCCTAGAGCTAAACCCTAAACCCTGACATCCCTAGAACCCTAAAGCGCCTAAACTCATCCGGAGCCTCGCCAGCGTGTGCGCCAGCGTGAGAGTCGAAAGCGCCTAAACCCTAAACCTCGCACCCTAAACCCTAAAATCCCAAAAAACAAAAAAACAAACTAAACCCTAAGATTCCCTAGCACCTACACCCTAAACGCCCTACAGCGCCTAAACCCTCACAGCCGAGGCTCAGTGTTGGGCTGACAAGAACGTTCACGACGGCACCGGGCTGCTTGGAGTTGTTTTGATGCTTTGGTGGGTTTCGGGACAAAGGGGGTATAGGGTTTTGGGGTTTAGGGTTTAGGGTTAGGGTGGGACAACTTTGGTGGGTTTCGGGACAAAGGGGGTATAGGGTCTAGGGTTTCTCGGGTTT